TGGAATATCGGGTCAGCATTTCAAGTTCTCCATGCATCTCACCATATTCAATTTAATTTAAGAAATTCACAAAAATCCTTCGGCGTAGCCTTGTTTTGATGTGGGATAAGATGGCGGCGTGACGATAGACTGACCTCGTGCCTTTACCGAATACGTCATACCTACTTTGATTGGCAGGTCGAAAATATCATATAACGCAAAATCACAGTTTCCGTAAATTAACAGCAATTCTGTTATAATTTTCCGTAAGGAAACACAAAGTTCCTGTCAAAAAAAAAAACAGTATTCCCACGCATCCGCGGACTTCGCTTATCTACAGACAAGTTTGGACATACATGATAATAACACAGAATTTACGTAAATTTACTGACAAATAACGTAATTGTTGTTAAGTGACATACGGCCAAGATTAATTTACGTAAAATAACATATTTCCTTACTGCGGAACTAACATTCTGTTAATGTAAGAACAAAGTCCGTAAATCAACAGAAAAATATGTATATCAGCAGAAATTGACGTATATCAAGAGAAAATATGTAGTAAATTTCTGTAAAAAAAACGGACTTTTTTTACAGTGAATATCAAGACCCTTAATCCTAATTTCTAAATAAAGTGTCTGCTCCACCCTAGGCCTGTACATTTGGGAGAATCAAACCCTCCCTTCCCCAAAACCTAATATCATAAAGTCCGTCAACACTCGAAACAACTTTGAAAACGAGATTAGCAATTTGAATATTAAACCCAAATTCAAAGTTGGAGATCGAGTTCGTATTTTAAAATATAAATCATTGTTTCAGAAAGGTTACGTCGGGTATTGGACTAACGAGATATTCATCGTTGATAAAATAAATAGCACATCACCTCCCACGTATGAATTGATCGATCAAGACAAAGAACAAATCATAGGAAGATTTTATCAAAATGAACTTCAAAAAACTGACTTTTAAAAATGAATCTCGAAAATGAAGATTTAGATGAAAGATTAAGAAATTTAGATGTCGACAAACATTTACGCTTTCTTAAATTAAGATTTTTTAAATTTAAATGTAAATTTATCTTCAAAATATTATTGAATGTGTTTTATCAGAATGTTATACACTACTACGTAT